TAACATGAGTGAAGGAAATGCAGAAATTGGTGAAAATGCTGACTTTTTTTTGGGGGGGGGGGGGGGGGGGGGATTGATTTTAAAACCACTTAGAGAGAGAGATTGATTTTAAAACCATTAGAATGTATTTGTTCCCAACTTAGGGTCATGCACTACTCATGAAGCATATTTAGAATTTTATTATTCAAAAACATAAAATACTGTCTCATACCGTCAACAATGAGAAAAATATTTTGGCCATAACCCCCAGCCCTAATGTCAGTATAATTTGTTTAATTTCTGATCCATAAAAAGGGCTCACAGACATTCACACCTGAAAATGCTGTTGAGGATTATTTATTGAAGCCTAAATTAGCATTATTATTAAGTGTTATGATTTTTATGGAGACCTTTGCCTGTCAAATTTGAAATGATCATGATGTAGTCTAAATTGACATCTTCCAAGTAGAAGAAGGAGAGAGACATTGAATATGTTATGTTCTAGCAAGCATGTTCTGACAGTATCATTTCAAAAACGCTGGTAGGTGAGCAGCAACAAGCATTAGGCCAACATTTGAAGATTGTGTTGAGATTTGACTGCGATACATTGCACCATGACACTTTAGCTTGCGATAATGTGCTTCTTGGTCCTAGCCCATGTGAGCTTTTGTGAACTGAGAGCTGTTTGACAGGCTATATCCCCACCCCTGCCTCGTCAGCAGAAAGCACTTAGAGATCATTAAAGTCATTTAAAGGGTTACTTCGGGATTTTGGCAATGAGGCCGTATATCTACTTCCCCAGAGTCAGATGAACTTGTGGATATTGTTATGTGTCTGTGTCCAGTATGAAGGAAGTTGCAGGTAGTTTCACAAGCCAATGCAAATTAGCGTTACCCGTAGACTTCCAGTCGTTGCGCTAGTTAGCAATTGCACTAGTGCTAGTTAGTAACTTCCTTCAATCTGCATGAAGAGACATACAGATGGTATCCACAAGTTCATCTGACTCTGGGGAAGTAGATAAAGGGCCTCATTGACAAAAATCCCAAAGTAACTCTTTAAATGACTTTAATGATCTCGAAGTGCTTTCTGCTGACGAGGCAGGGGTGGGGATATAGCCTGTCAAACAGCTCTCAGTTCACAAAAGCTCACATGGGCTAGGACCAAGAAGCACATTATCGCAAGCTAAAGTGTCATGGTGCAATGTATCGCAGTCAAATCTCAACACAATCTTCAAATGTTGGCCTAATGCTTGTTGCTGCTCACCTACCAGCGTTTTTAAAATGATACTGTCAGAACATGCTTGCTAGAACATAACATTGTCTCATTGTCACAATCCAGAAGTATCCCTTTAAGCCGGGACGGATGCTTCGGGGGGCAGTGGAGGGAGTGCAGATATCTGCATCCTGTAAATGGTAGTGGAAACCCACGATCGCCTGTCTGGTTTTAAGACCGACACCTCTGAACTGTAGGCCTACACATACAAACTTTGAGGACCACAGATCCAAGTAGCTGCCATGCATGGGACAGAAGCTCTAAGTGGGGTTGAGGCTATATTAATTTTTTCATGTTTTTTTGAAATAAGCTTTGTTGTACAATTGAAGGTCAAATAAACTGCATTTCAAACAGTCAGCAATAATCTAATGAATTCAGGGCTTGTGAAGTTATTCCTAGGCTAAATATGTCTTCCACAACCATAAGACCCACTAATAATTACAATATTTTATCGAAATAGTTTAACCTGCTTTTTTGCAATAATCACTGAACTGGCTTTCAAGTCTGAAAATGCTAATTTTGGTACAAATGTAATCAGAACCATGCATAATGCACATTCATTAATAATGACTAACTTATTGCAGCAGGCATTATTGAAAATTGACACAGATCTCAAAAACAATCTCAAGCACAAGTAGCTAGCTAATCTTTATATTTCAAGTTTAGCCAACTTAGATCTATTTGATAGCTAACAAGGCAGAACAGTTGAATTCTTATGTACACACTCTTCTGTCCGTCTCCAACTGTTTGAACAGCATGCTAGCCTGTCCACTTTGTTCAGATTTGAAATCAAGTGGCCTACCTTATTTCTCAGAATGAGAACAAGTTGGCAATTCCTTTTTTGCTTATTGCACATTTATAAAACCGACTAGAACGCTAGTATAACAGTCTTTGGCTAAAATGCTGCTAGTGGTACGGCAATGCCGCGCGAGACATTGAGCATTCATGTTCCAGAATCAATGTTAATTGATACTCCCATTTTAGTAGTGTCTGCTCTGCTCGCAATTTGAGGAGTTGAGACAAAAAGGGTATCATGAGAACCTTTCTCAAATCTTTCTCATGATAACCTAACTTCTCCTCTATTAGAGTAAAATAATGTCTCAATGTGATTCGGTGTCCATATGACCGATTCTGTTGGACCAAACCTCAAATGCAAATAGTGAGTTGAAACCACTTGTCAGAGAGGAAGAAGTGATCTAATCTTTTTTAGTTTTGAGTGGCAGGGGGCGTGGCTTGGTGTGTGTGTGTGTGTGTGTGTGTAAACAGAGGAAGAGGCAAAGCGAGGTTTCAATCTTGCCAAAATCGGTCCAAAATAACCCCAATGCGTTTCTATGGGCTTATTTTGGACCTAATCTTGTCGCCTGCCTTTCCGCCTATGGGACAACGACTCCCATTGTTAGGGCGGAGACATGAGCATCTCGTCATTATACAGTGCCTTCAGAAAGTATTCATACCCCTTGACTTTTTCCACATTTTGTTTTGTTACAAAGTGGGATTAAAATTGATTTAATTGTCTTTTTTGTCAACGATCCACTCAATATTCTGTCAAAGTGGAAGAAATATTGTATTTTATTTATGAGAAAGTAAATACTAATGTATCTTGATTAGATAAGTATTCAACCCGTGAGTCAATACATGTTAGAATCACCTTTGACAGCGATTACAGCTGCGAGTCGTTCTGGGTAAATGTCTCTTAAGAGCTTTGCACACCTGGATTGTACAATATTTACCCATTTTATTCTTTAAAAAATATATTCAATCTCTGTCAAGTTGGTTGTTATCATTGCTAAACAGTTCTTGCCATAGATTTTCAAGACGATTTAAGTCAAAACTGTAACTAGGCTACTCAGGAACATTCAATGTCGTCTTGGTAAGCAACTCCAGTATAGATTTGGCCTTATGTTTTAGGTAGTTGTCCTGCTGAAAGGTGAATTTCTCTCCCAGTGTCTGTTGGTAAGCAGACTGAACCAAGTTTTACTCTAGGGTTTTTATTTCTGTTTTACTCTAGGATTTAAATATTCCGTTTATTTTTATCCTAAAAAACTCCCTAGTCCTTGCCGATGACAAGCATACCCAAAACATGATGCAACCACCACCATGCTTGAAAATATGACGAGTGGTGTGTTGTTGGGTTTGCCCAAAGCATAACGCTTTGTATTCAGGACAAAAAGTGAATTTCTTTGCCAAAATGTTTGCAGCATTGCCTTATTGCAAACAGGATGCATGTTTTTATTTAAATGTTTATTCTGTACAGGCTTCTGTATTTTCACTCTGTCATTTATGTTAGTATTGTGGAGTAACTACAATGTTGTTGATCCATCCTCAGTTTTATCCTATCACAGCCAATAAACTCTGTAACTGTTTTAAAATCACCATTGGCCTCATGGTGAAATCCCTGAGCGGTTTCCTTCCTCTCTGGAAACTGAGTTAGGAAGGGCGCCTGTATCTTTGTAGTGACTGGGTGTATTGATACACCATCCAAAGTGTAATTATTAACTGCACCGTGCTCAAAGGGATATTCGATGTCCGTTTTTTTCTTTTTTTTACCCATCTACCAATAGGTGCCCCTTGTGAACCATTGGAAAAAAACCCTGGTCTTTGTGGTTGAATCTGTGCTTGAAATTCACTGCTCGACTGAGGGACCTTACAGATAATTGTGTGTGTGAGGTACAGAGATAAGGTAGTCATTCAAAAATCATGTTAAACACTATTATTGCACACCGAGTGAGTCCATGCAACTTATTATGTGACTTTCTTTACTCCTGAACTTATTTAGGCTTACCATGACAAAAGGGTTGAATACTTATTGACTCAATATATTTCAGCTTTTCATTTTTTATTAATTTGTAAACATAAAAAAATATATATAATCCACTTTGACATTCTGGGGTATTGTATGTAGATCAGTGACACACAATCTCAATTTAATCAATTTTAAATTCAGGCTGTAACACAACAAAATGTGGAAAAAGTCGATGGATGTGAATACTTTCTGAAGGCACTGTGTATACAGATCTCTGGTATAAATGGGAAGGTGCACACAGCACAGCACAGAGACGAGACCAAAAAGACAAAAGCAGACATAAACGCTCATATAAAAAATAAACTCACATTTGGAATATCGCACTAAAACATACATTCAAATTAATTGAATGAATTTGATATATCGCCCAGCCCTAAGCTCACTCCCTCTCTCTCAAGAATGCTGGCAGACAGGCATCGTACCTCAGAGGGATTCTGTGACCTCCGCGATCCCTTTCTTCCACCCTTCTCCCTCCTTCCCCTATCGCTCTCTCACACAATTTACCCTCTTGAACATCCTCCAACCTATCATTCACATTCACTCAATGTTTTTCTTCTCTTCCCTGCCCCTACCAGTCTTTTATGGTTAAACAGTGTCTGTAGATACATTGTGTGGTAGGTACGTGCTTGAAACTTAAAACATGCAATGTGACCTGTTCATATGTAGCACACTGAACTGTGGAGAAAAGGGAAATCTCATAACTGTACTCAAACTAGGATGCTGTATGGAGGAACGTTATAACAGCCCAGTATCAGCACATGCATGGCAAAGTGCAGATTAACTGTCTGTTGTCATTGAACTGAAGTCGCCCAAGAAGCTCAACTCTCTCTTACACACATACTTTGTGACTTCTGCTCATGTCCAGCCAATGAATGTTGCTGATTCTTCTTGCCACACTGTCATTATTGCCATTCTTTCTCCCCACCCTCTCTCTCTCTCTCTCTCATTGCAGGAGAGCACATACAGTCACTGTGCTTTTCATTCTCACCTGCGTGTTGGTCTATGTCACTCTGTTGGAGGAGACACCCCAGGATACAACGTACAACACTAAAAGGTCAGCCATTCGGTTACGCACGCACAATGTCTCTCCCATGACGTCTTATATATTCATGCAGCACACTACAAAACACATTCACTTAGTCACGACTGCTTGTGTGAAATGAATCACTTCCACCTCCAACAGCCAGTCACCTTCAGCCCAGCTGGCATGTAGCACAGTCAGCACATAGACTATTAGGTTCCTCCTTTATTTTTATAGGTTTAACTGTTCCATTCTTGAGCACTTTTGAAATGTCAAAATATATATTGTACAGTAAGACGTGCTGAACTCTTACTAAGTTATGTAGCGTAAAGATGCTTTAGATGCTGTGAAGCCTAGTAGAAATCTGACTTTTATGAAAGAGATGGCCAGCACTTCAGCAAATCGGCTGATTGAGAATACATCTAAGATTGCCAGGCATAGATATAATGTAGGAAAAAGCTAGGTATTGACTAATGGATGCTTTGGAGGGCAGAGGACTGTTTCTATTCCCCCCCCCCCCCCGCTTTGGTACTAGTCATAAACATACATTAGAGTCCCAAAATTTACTAAAAAGTATAAGTAAGATAACTTTAAGAACCTTTTGAGCCTTTGCATGATCTTAAGCCATTTCAGTGAGTTTTGCGAGCAGAGGAATTTGGCAGCATTGGGGAGTCTTCAGACGGAGGAAGTGTGTTTGCGTGCTTGTTTGTGTGTGTAGTATGTGTGCGGGCGTTACTTAGGAAGGAGTTAACAGGAATAGCTGGGCGGGGGTTGTCTGTACTGACAATCTGACGGTCATTAACGGGATTTGCCATGGTCAGCGAGGCCCAGCTGGCCTGGGAGATTAGAGCCCACAACAACTTCTTCCCCCGGGTCACAACCAACGGCACTGCCCTACTGCCTGCCTGGCTGAATGCCTTCACCTGAATGTACTAATCCCCTGGGGGTGGTTGTCTAACTCACCTTGGCTTTCTTACCTGATCGCCTCTGTCATGTGCACTGATCAGAAAGGACATGATAGGTTAAAGCACACATGCCCTCATAGGCGTAATGCAGTTTGCTATATTGTTTTTGTCGATCCAGGTCTCTCAGATGGGTGTGGTGAAAGGAGAGGAGGCCGTGTAGATTGAGATGCAACCCTGTAGACCTTTTAGCTAGCATGCCACATATACTCAGCGTGCCTGGGCCCTGACCTTAACTTGCACATTGGTCAAATAATTATCATATTTCAATGCAAACCATGAATTCCAGTCCATGTACACTGCTCAAAAAAATTAAGGGAACACTTAAACAACACAATGTAACTCCAAGTCAATCACACTTCTGTGAAATCAAACTGTCCACTTAGGAAGCAACACTGATTGACAATACATTTCACATGCTGTTGTGCAAATGGAATAGACAACAGGTGGACATTTTAGGCAATTAGCAAGACACCCCCAATAAAGAAGTGGTTCTGCAGGTGGTGACCACAGACCACTTCTCAGTTCCTATGCTTCCTGGCTGATGTTTTGGTCACTTTTGAATGCTGGCGGTGCTTTCACTCTAGTGGTAGCATGAGACGGAGTCTACCACCCACACAAGTGGCTCAGGTAGTGCAGCTCATCCAGGATGGCACATCAATGCGAGCTGTGGCAAGAAGGTTTGCTGTGTCTGTCAGCGTAGTGTCCAGAGCATGGAGGCGCTACCAGGGGACAGGCCAGTACATCAGGAGATGTGGAGGAGGCCGTAGGAGGGCAACAACCCAGCAGCAGGACCGCTACCTCCGCCTTTGTGCAAGGAGGAGCAGGAGGAGAACTGCCAGAGCCCTGCAAAATGACCTCCAGCAGGCCACAAATGTGCATGTGTCTGCTCAAACGGTCAGAAACAGACTCCATGAGGGTGGTATGTGGGCCCGACGTCCACAGGTGGGGGTTGTGCTTACAGCCCAACACCGTGCAGGACGTTTGGCATTTGCCAGAGAACACCAAGATTGGCTAATTCGCCACTGGCGCCCTGTGCTCTTCACAGATGAAAGCAGGTTCACACTGAGCACATGTGACAGACTTGACAGAGTCTGGAGACGCCGTGGAGAACGTTCTGCTGCCTGCAACATCCTCCAGCATGACCGGTTTGGCGGTGGGTCAGTCATGGTGTGGGGTGGCATTTCTTTGGGGGGCCGCACAGCCCTCCATGTGCTCGCCAGAGGTAGCCTGACTGCCATTAGATACCGAGATGAGATCCTCAGACCCCTTGTGAGACCATATGCTGGTGCGGTTGGCCCTGGGTTCCTCCTAATGCAAGACAATGCTAGACCTCATGTGGCTGGAGTGTGTCAGCAGTTCCTGCAAGAGGAAGGCATTGATGCTATGGACTGGCCCGCCCGTTCCCCAGACCTGAATCCAATTGAGCACATCTGGGACATCATGTCTCGCTCCATCCACCAACGCCACGTTGCACCAGACTGTCCAGGAGTTGGCGGATGCTTTAGTCCAGGTCTGGGAGGAGATCCCTCAGGAGACCATCCGCCACCTCATCAGGAGCATGCCCAAGCGTTGTAGGGAGGTCATACAGGCACGTGGAGGCCACACACACTACTGAGCCTCATTTTGACTTGTTTTAAGGACATTACATAAAAGTTGGATCAGCCTGTAGTGTGGTTTTCCACTTTAATTTTGAGGGTGACTCCAAATCCAGACCTCCATGGGTTGATACATTTGATTTCCATTGAAAATCTTTGTGTGATTTTGTTGTCAGCACATTCAACTATGTAAAGAAAAAAGTATTTCATAAGATTATTTCATTCATTCAGATCTAGGATGTTGTTTAAGTGTTCCCTTTATTTTTTTGAGCAGTGTATATAGATGTCATAATGTTATAAATGTATATTTTAGTCATCCTGTAAAGAGGACTGATCTCTATGTGAGTTTATCATTAGTTGTTCTAATTACTTAAGTCTGCTTATGTTTTCTACCAGAGGGATTGTGGCCAGCATCCTAGTGTTCCTCTGCTTTGGAGTGACACAAGCCAAAGATGGCCCATTCACCAGACCACATCCAGGTAACACAACCTCCACCCGCAGTGCAAATACTCTTCACATTTCAGCTTCTTTGTGCTCTTGTACTTCAGTTAACACAAGCCTGCCAGTCCAGCCTCTTGCTACGTAGGCTAAGTGCATTGACACATTAAATGGGACTCACTCACAGAATAACTACATCCTGTCCAAAGAAGAGACACTGCCAGTGCTAAAAGTTAGTGAGTCAATTTGCAGTCGCTCTTACACCTTGAAAGAAGAAAAGAGGGAGATAATACATTTGCGAAACCGAAATGCGGCATCCCTATAAGAATTCTTCCCAAGGTATGGCCTGCGGTGAATCACTGCTTTTAAAGGGGGTGTTGCAGCAGCACTGTGTACATGTCAAACATATAAAAAGTTGTCAACCGCCGGGGAAAGCACAGGCGTTAAGTCAAACTCTGTAATGGAGTATTGATCCCCTGTCTGTTCTTCTTCCTTTGGAAATGTCTTTAGTGGGGAGAGACAGAATGCATGTCTGCTTTTAGATCAATATAGATGTTTGGAGGCACAGCAATGGAGTGGGCCATGAAGACTATCCCGACTGTGTGTGAAATACATACAGATTACATACACTGCATCAGATAACATTACATCCGCCAAACCCAGATTAGTCCATCGGACTGCCAGATGGTGAAGCGTGATTCGTCACTCCAGAGAACGCATTTCCACTGCTCCAGAGCTTTACACCACTCCAGCCAACACTTGGCATTACGCATGGTGATGTTAGGCTTGTGTGTGGCTGCTTGGCTATGGAAACCCATTTCATTAAGCTCCCGACAAACAGTTATTGTGCTGACGTTGCTTCCAGAGGCAGTTTGGAACTTGGTAGTGAGTGTTGCAACCGAGGACAGACGATTTTTACGTGCTTCGGGACTCGGCGGTCCCGTTCTGTGAGCTTGTGTAACTTACCACTTCGCCGCTGAGCTGTTGTTGCTCCTAGACGTTTCCACTTCACATTAACAGCACTTACAGTTGACCGGGGCAGCTCTAGCAGGGCAGAAATTTGACGAACTGACTTGTTGGAAAGGTGGCAAGCTATGACGGTGCCACGTTAAAAGTCAATGGGCTCTTCAGTAAGGCCAATGTTTTTCTATGGAGATTGCATGGCTGTGTGCTCGATTTTATACACCTGTCCGCAACGGGTGTGGCTGAAATAGCCAAATCCACTAATTTGAAGGGGTGTTCACATACTTTTGTGTATATACAGTGCATTCGGAAAGTATTCAGACCCCTTGACTTTCTCCACATTTTGTTACGTTATGGCCTTATTCTAAAATTGATTAAATTGTTTTTTTCCCCCTCATCAATCTACACACAATACCCCATAAAGACAAAGCAAAAACAGGTTTTTAGAAATGTTAAGTTTCTTCAAGTGCAGTCGCAAAAACCATCAAGCGCTATGATGAAACTGGTTCTCATGAGGACTGCCACAGGAGTTACCTCTGCTGCAGAGGATAAGTTCATTAGAGTTACCAGCCTCAGAAATCAGCAATTAACTGCACCTCAGAATGCTGCCCAAAATAAATGCTTCACAGAGTTCAAGTAACAGACACAGCTCAACATCAACTGTTCAGAGGAGACTGTGTGAATCAGGCCTTCATGGTCGAATTGCTGCAAAGAAACCACTCCTAAAGGACACCAATTAGAAGAAGAGACTTGCTTGGGCCAAGAAACACGAGCAATGGACATTTAAACCGGTGGAAATCTGTCCTTTGGTCTGATGAGTCCAAATGTGAGATTTTTGGTTCCAACCTCCGTGTCTTGATGAGACGCAGAGTATGTGAATGGATCTCCGCATGTGTGGTTCCCACCGTGAAGCATGGAGGAGGTGGTGTGATGGTGTGCTCAGCATATGTGGGAACTCCTTCAAGACTGTTGGAAAAGCATTCCTCATGAAGCTGCTTGAGAGAATACCAAGAGTGTGCAGAGCTGTCATCAAGGCAAAGGGTGGCTACTTTCAATAATTTAAAATATAAAATATAATTTCATTTTTTTAACACTTTATGGTTACTACATGATTCCATATGTGTTAATTTATAGTTTTTTTGTATTCGCTATTATTCTACAATGTAGAAAATAGTACAAATAAAGAAAAACCCTTGAATGAGTAGGTGTGTCCAAACCTTTGACAGGTACAGTATGTATTCAGACCCTTTACTCAGTACTTTGTTGAAGCACCTTTGGCAGCGATTACAGCCTCGAGTCTTCTTGGGTATGAAGCTACAAGCTTTGCACACCTGTATTTGGGTAGTTTCTCCCATTCTTCTCTGCAGATCCTCTGAAGCTCTGTCAGGTTGGATGGGGCACGTCGCTGCACAGCTATTTTCAGGTCTCTCCAGAGATGTTAGATCCGGTTCAAGTCCAGGCTCTGGCTGGGCCACTCAAGGACATTCAGAGACTTGTCCCGCAGCCACCCCTGCGTTGTATTGGCTGTGTGCTAAGGGTCATTGTCCTGTTGGAAGGTGAACCTTCGCCCCAGTCTTAGGTCCTGAGCGCTCTGGATCAAGTTTTCGTCAAGGATCTCTCTGTACTCTGCTCTGTTCATCTTTCCCTCGATCCTGACTAGTCTCCCAGTCCCTGCTGCTGAAAAAAATCCCCACAGCATGATGCTGCCACCGCCGTGCTTCACTGTAGGGATGGTGCCAGGTTTCCTCCAGACTTGACGCTTGTTAGAGTGGCCAGACAGAAGCCACTCTTCAGTAAAAGGCACATGACAGCCCGCTTGGAGTTGGCAAAATGCACCTGAAACGATTCTCAGACCATGAGAAACAAGATTGAACTCTCCAAATACAGGTGTGCCAGGCTTGTAGCGTCATACCCAAGAAGACTCCAGGCTGTAATCGCTGCCAAAGGTGATTCAACAAAGTACTGAGTAAAGGTTCTGAATACTTTTGTAAATGTGATATTTCAGTTTTTTGTTTAGTAAAATTGTGTAAAAACCTGTTTTTGCTTTGTCATTATGGGGTATTGTGTGTAGATTGAAAAAAAACCAATAATTTAATCCATTAGAGTAAGGCTGTAACGTCACAAAATGTGGAAAAAGTGAAGGGGTCTGATCCTTTCCGAATGCACTGTATGTTTGAAATTCACTGCTCGACTGCGGCACCTTACAATTATCTGTATGTGTGGGGTACAGAGATGAGGTACTCATTAAAACAATCATATTTAACACTATTGCACACAGTGAATCCATCAAACTTATTATGTGACTTGTTAAACACATTTTTACTCCTAAACGCATTGAGGCTTGCCATAACAAAGGGTTTTATACTTATTGACTGAACATTTCAGCTTGAATTTTTTTGACATTCATGGGGTATTGTCAAAAAATCTGTAACCCAACAAAAAATGGGACAAATCATGTTGTGTGAATACTTTCTGAAGGCCCTGTATTAGAGTTTGAATCCCTTATCCATTACTGGAAGCAGAGTACTTCAAAGCACCAATGTAATGCCTTAATCTGAGCTCTCACTGCACTGCCAGTGGAATGTCTACAGTGCTAGGAGTTCACATCAATGGGACCAGTCAGAGCCCGTTTCTCAACCCCTTTTTCTGTGTATGATCACCGTGTATGATGGATTTAGCCACAGTTTAGCATTTTAGATAGCGATCAGCAGTACCTCTGTTTGTTTGCACAGCACATTTCTCATCCTTTAACATAGACTGATCCGTTCATACTGTAGTCAAGGAGCCTTCAGATAAGCTTTATTTTCAATCAACAGTTGGAATTTTGTGGATGTTTATCAGAACCTCTTAGATTCTCAGAATGGGTCATTTTAACCCGATGACTCTTATCCAAATTCTACAACACCATCTTGCCTCTTCAGATAGTCCTGAGCAGAGTAGGTGAGATCAAATAGTTTGCAGGCCGAGCTAGGTCTTGCCTCCAGATCGGCAAGGAAAATTTAAAGCAGCAGTTTCATAGGAGACAGACGACTTCCTTTTATCAGGGAAGTGTGCATAAAGCCCATGTGAATGCACTGTTGGTGACAGGTTCCTTAGGGCCATGAAATGACTCAGTCACAACCATAGTAGGATTCCTAGTGAGGGAGAGGAGAGCAGATGCTTGACTGCAAGTCTTTTGGGGAACAGGAGGCATTTTGATAATGCGAGCTATCTCAAGTTTCCAGTTTTGTCGTGCACACGTGCAGTTAAATGCCTTTCTTGCAAGCTGTTTCCCAAAAATGCAGTTATCAATATCAGTAGTACTATAAAATAAAGTAAAGTCGAACAAAAATCCACAAGAAATCTAAATGAGAAGAACACGATTAAGTAAGTAAGCTATATACAGGTTCAGTTCCAGGGTCGATACCAATAACATATTTCCAATGTGCAGGGCTACTGGAGTGGTAAGTTAGATATGTATACGGTAAGGTGACTAGGCATCAGGATATATGATAAACAGAGTAGCAGCAGCATATATGATGATTGTATGTGAGTGTGTGTGTGTGTGTGTAGAGTCAGTATGCATGTGTGTGCGTGTTGTGTGAGCAAATGAAGTGTGTGTGGTCAATGCAGATAGTCCGTTTAGCCATTTTGTTAGCTATTTAAGCTATGCAAACACGACGACACTTGTCATGCTTCAAAACAGACAATGCATGCTGTGCAGTAATATTGCCTTGCGGTCCTTATTAGTGACTGAGTTTTGTGGTTATTTACTATTTTCCGTTAACCGTCTAGAGTCGAATGACTCACCAGTGCGTCAATCTAAGTTACATAACAAAAAAATCCCCATAAAAATCTGTCAGTTTTAAACTGAAGATATTTTTTTTGCATTGGATGAGTCTCAATCTACCACATCTGCCAGTGTCGCACTTCTGCATCTGTGGTGAGACATCCCGAAAATCGGTCTTCTCACAAATGTCTGTAGCGTCCGAACAGTTTGACCTACAAAACTATTATGCTGTATGGGGAGACTCTCACGAACACAATGGTGTCCTCCGTTTTGCTCTATGACCCCCACAAGTGTCACGGGATTCATCTGAAGGTAACCGGTTTAAAAAAAACAAATGGCAGTATGAAGGCAGTTTTGTGTAAAAAAACATATGTGTATATACTTCTCCTAGATTTAGGACAGACACTTAAAAACCTGGTTTCTTATGATACATTTTTGGACTGTCCTTTTTGCCATTTATGAATGTGTTTCTATGGCTTTAGTAGTAAAGGCCAAAATCTATATTTTATCAAAACGGGGGGTCCTAAAATTCCAAATCAAAGAGCTAAATAATCGATAGTATGACCATCTTAAAACAATTCTATATGTTAGCTTAGCACTCCCCCTCCCCCAACGTCTTAGACTCTAAATAATTAACAAGGAAAGCACTGTGTGTGAAGTTCCAGGAATGCTTAGCAACTGTAGATTATGCTAAAATGATCATCTTTGTGTTCTCTCTTTTTCTCTCCAGCATACTGGCGCTTCTGGCTTTGTGTCTCTGTTGTCTACGAGTTATTCCTTATATTTGTGCTGTTCCAGGTGGGTCGATTGCACCAACACACACTAGAGCACTGAATTGTTTGTGCTATTATAGCTGCAATAGATCTGTCGTTCGAATGAAGAATCACTCCAATCAGCTTTGAAATACAGAGCCAAGTTCTCTCTGGGAGCACTGACAACTAGATCTATTTAGGAAAGATGGACAATCAAAAGGAAAAGGATCAACGACATGATTAGATGCAGAATGGATCTGAAGGGACTTGAAGGGAATGAAACAAAACACGTCTTTGAGAAACTAGTTAACTTCTCAATGTACATATGTTCAAAGTATACTGAACTAAAATATAAACGCAACATGCAGCAATTTCAACGATTTTACTGAGTTACAGTTCATATAAGGAAATCAGTCAATTGTAATAAATAAATTAGGCCCTAATCTATGGATTTCACATGACTGGGCAGGGCTGCAGCCATGGGTGGGCCTGGGAGGGCATAGACCAGGAGGGCATAGCCCCACCCACGTGTGAGCCAAGCCCATCCACTGGGGAGCCAGGTCCATCCAATCAGAATGACTGGTCTCAGACGATCCCGCAGGTGAAGAAGCTGGGCTGGCGTGGTTACACGTGGTCTGCGGTTGTGAGGCCGGTTGGACGTACTGCCAAATTCTCTGAAACGACATTGGAGGCAGCTTATGGCAGAGAAATGGACAATCAATTTTCTGGCAACAGCTCTGGTGGACATTTCTGCAGTCAGCATGCAAATTGCACGCTCCCTCAAAACTTGAGACATCTGTGGCATTGTGTTGTGTGACAAAACTGCACATTTTAGAGTTGCCTTTTGTCCCCAGCACAAGGTGCACCTGTGTAATGATCAAGCTTCTTGATATGCCACACCTGTCATGTGGATGGATTATCTTGGCAAAGGAGAAGTGCTCACTAACAGGGATGTAAACAAATTTGTGCACAAAATTTGAGCATTTTGTGTGAATGGAAAATGTCTGGGATCTTTTATTTCAGCTCATGATATATGGGACCAACATGTTGCTTTTATATTTTTGTTCAGCATACATACAGACAAGTACATATAGACAAAGCACTAAGTAGTATATATTTTTGTATGTTTAATTTGCCCTCATTCATTAGACGGTCCATGACGGCAGACAGTTTATGAAGTACATTGACCCCAAACTGGGGGTAGCCTTGCCGGAGAGGGACTATGGCGGCAACTGCCTCATATACGACCCGGGGAACACCACCGACCCCTGGCATAACATCTGGGTAAGACACGCATGCGCGCACACATTAACCTGTAGCATCAGGAGACCACCGCAATGGTGGCACTTGCAGGAGCTGTGACACTAAAGACTTCTCTCTCGCTTTGTCTCTCGCGTTCTCTCTCTCGCTTTCTCGGGCACTCTCTCGGTGTCTCTCGCTCTTTCTCTGGCCGTCTGCGAGGCTCTTGACTGGATGCTTAGACCGGGACGGAGTTTTAAAGTACTTCACTCAGGGCTCCAACAGACTGCCCTAGTGGACTGTACACTCCAAAATGCTGGCGTTCTGTGGGCTTGTTAATTTTGTAACCATAAATTACACTAATTAATCACTGTAATTTCCACATATATTTCAAACCACTGTTGTTCCTCGTCAAACAAGGTTCTCAGTTCTCTGTTAACATGGTTGTAAAAGGGCCGTCCCAAAGGTCACTGTTGACTGTAGGTCGCTGTTGGTTGTAGATTCCACCATAAATGCTGAAATGCAATTGTAACAATTGCTTAACACTATGGGCTACTGTATGTTTAAGCTTAAACTCTATTGGACCAGTTAGGTTTGCTACTGGAGTAGTAGGGAGAATTGAAAACCGCACAACTGAATAATTTAGGAAAAGAATGCCGGCAAAAAATTATTACAAAAAAAGAATCACCTTGAGTAAATATTGATGTGAAATGTGTACAATGAGCTCAATATGAATTCAATACATCAACAGTACAATAGACTTAGATATCGGCCATATATCCCGCCTATAGTTTACTAGGGTGCACCCAACTCTATTTTAATCTGAGGGTATCTCAGCTTTCAAAGTTCAATACAAATACAATAAACATGAGTCTACAGAAAAACACAACCCAATTCACAAATACTGACTTATAAACCACTATGAGATGGAATCAAATGTGAGTGACTGTGCATATCAATAAACACTGTAATGTGTTTAAATGTGGTATGTGCTTATGACAGTTCAACTGCAATGTATGGTGCTATGATGTCTTGCAACAAAGACTCCTACCACACTGTGGTATGGCAGTGCAAATTCAGTATCCTCCAAGGAAAAGGAAAAATAAATATTTGCATGCAAATCTTCTTACGGATGTCCTGGGTTCGGGCAGCTCGCTATCCTTGGTGGAACTGAATCCATACTTAAACCTGACCTGTTATACAAACAGGATCACAGAATATATATACAGTGGGGAGAACAAGTATTTGATACACTGCCGATTTTGCAGGGTTTCCTACTTACAAAGCATGTAGAGGTCTGTAATTTTTATCATAGGTACACTGCAACTGTGAGAGACGGAATCTAAAACAAAAATTCAGAAAATCACATTGTATGATTTTTAAGTAATTAATTTGCATTTTATTGCATGACATAAGTATTTGATACATCAGAACAGCAGAACTTAATATTTGGTACAGAAACCTTTGTTTGCAATTACAGAGATCATACGTTTCCTGTAGGTCTTGACCAGGTTTGCACACACTGCAGCAGGGATTTTGGCCCACTCCTCCAAACAGACCTTCTCCAGATCCTTCAGGTTTCGGGGCTCTCGCTGGGCAATACGGACTTTCAGCTCCCTCCAAAGATTTTCTATTGGGTTCAGGTCTGGAGACTGGCTAGGCCACTCCAGGACCTTGAGATGCGTCTCACTCCTTAGTTGCCCTGGCTGTGTGTTTCGGGTCGTTGTCATGCTGGAAGACCCAGCCACGACCCATCTTCAATGCTCTCACTGAGGGAAGGAGGTTGTTGGCCAAGATCTCGCGATACATGGCCCCATCCATCCTCCCCTCTATACGGTGCAGTCGTCCTGTCCCCTTTGCAGAAAAGCATCCCCAAAGAATGATGTTTCCACCTCCATGCTTCACGGTTGGGATGGTGTTCTTGGGGTTGTACTCATCCTTCTTCTTCCTCCAAACACAGCGAGTGGAGTTTAGACCAAAAAGCTCTATTTTTGTCTCATCAGACCACATGACCTTCTCCCATTCCTCCTCTGGATCATCCAGATGGTCATTGGCAAACTTCAGACGGGCCTGGACATGCGCTGGCTTGAGCAGGGGGACCTTGCGTGCGCTGCAGGATTTTAATCCATGACGGCGTAGTGTGTTACTAATGGTTTTCTTTGAGACTGTGGTCCCAGCTCTGCCGTGTAGTTCTGGGCTGATCCCTCACCTTCCTCATGATCATTGATGCCCCACGAGGTGAGATCTTGCATGGAGCCCCAGACCGAGGGTGATTGACCGTCATCTTGAACTTATTCCATTTTCTAATAATTGCGCCAACAGTTGTTGCCTTCTCACCAAGCTGCTTGCCTATTGTCCTGTAGCCCATCCCAGCCTTGTGCAGGTCTACAATTTTATCCCTGATGTCCTTACACAGCTCTCTGGTCTTGGTCATTGTGGAGAGGTTGGAGTCTGTTTGATTGAGTGTGTGGACAGGTGTCTTTTATACAGGTAACGAGTTCAAACAGGTGCAGTCAATACAGGTAATGAGTGGAGAACAGGAGGGCTTCTTAAAGAAAAACTAACAGGTCTGTGAGAGACGGAATTCTTACTGGTTGGTAGGTGATCAAATACTTATGTCATGCAATAAAATGCAAATTAATTAATTAAAAATCATACAATGTGATTTTCTGGGTTTTTGTTTTAGATTCCGTCTCTCACAGTTGAAGTGTACCTATGATAAAAATGACAGACCTCTACATGCTTTGTAAGTAGGAAAACCTGCAAAATCGGCAGTGTATCAAATACTTGTTCTCCCCACTGTATACCATGAGTACCTTTCATATAAACATTAATATAGCTCTTAGCTTTAATCTCTTACAGGAATAAGAAAATAAAACTTAGTCAAAATGCTTTACACTTTAACTACAGCACCAGGCTCACGTGGACTGAACAATAGACTAGCCTGGGCAAATGGAAATTACTAGTGCTTACACCATTTCTTATAAAGTAATCTAAAACATAACTGTGTACCAAAATATATTATGATAATAGCTAATCACATTTTATAAAAGTATGAAAACTAAAATAGTTCGCCATGCATGATTAGCATGATCACTAACGTTTGCTATTTCAATTGATCGATAGCTGAGCTAGCCTAAATGTTAACGGCTTGTGCGTATGCTTGGTTCAGTATGAACACGCACAAAATGCTAGCAATAGCTTAGCTAGCCTAATCGCTAGCGGCTCGTTCTCCTTTTGAAAACTCACCAAATCCTGCCGTCAATCTTTCCCTCAACCCCTTCACAGCACGTTCGGATAGATAAGTGAGCTATTATCCGTTTTTTTTTTTTTTTTTAGTTCAGTATTATACAACTTCTCACAACGATTTGAAACTTATTTTTTCTTCGATAGAATGGCGGTATCTCTTCACGTTCCGTTCTAGCTCATTTTTAACATGTTGGCGTCCACTGGTGTAGAATGTGTGGTTAGGAGAGGGACTAAGATATAATATTTTGTTTTGATTGGCTCAACATAAACTGCTCGTCATGCAGCTTCTGAACATATCATAATATAATATGATTGGTTACTGGAATCTCACTAGTAACGATAAGTATTCAACATTAGTTGACCTGTGTTACACAATGTTGTAGGTGTTGTCATTAATGAAACATCTATGGAATGCACTCTTCATGAGTGTGTCATATAGTCCTTGTCCAAGGTAGTCTCATACAATATCAAATGGTCAATGAGTGGTAAGGTTAAGAATTATTACAAGAATGCTGTTTTTGCAGGACAAGATGGATGGCTTTGTCCCCGCTCACTTTCTTGGCTGGTATATTAAGGTGGGTCTGAGTAGTGTACTGTATTTTAGGCCTATATTTAATACTTGATTAATATTAGTACTGGATTAAAGGTAGAGTTAGCAATGTGACATCATCATACATCCACAACAACCGAATTCACATCTCCGTCTCCCTCTTCATCTGTCAGACACTTGTGATCAGAGACTGGTGGATGTGTATGATCATCAGTGTGATGTTCGAGTTCCTGGAGTACAGCCTGGAGCACCAGCTCCCCAACTTCTCTGAGTGCTGGTGGGACCATGTATGTACCTCTTCTTCTTCTTCATAACACACAATTGTAACTGACAAGGATATTTTTGTCCACTGTTGATTTCAGTTGATTTCACTATTGATTTACAATTTGGATACTGGATGTTTAGTCTGTTTTGATACTGGGAGGCAATTCAAAAGCAACTGACTTTATTGAATTTCAAGTGTTTGTCAGTAGATGTTGAATGTTATGTGCAGAAAGCTTGAGTTAGGATTTTGTCCTCAGTGAATGCTGAATGCCATGTCTCTCTCTGTGAATCCTAAATGTCATGTCTGTGTCTTTTCAGTGGATAATGGATGTGCTGGTGTGTAATGGCCTGGGGATCTACGCTGGGATGAAGACCTTAGGCTGGCTGTCTATGAAGCCCTACCAGTGGCAGGGACTGTGGAACATCCCCACATACAAGTACGCTGCCCACCTCCTGGAACCTTGGTTACGCTTGGTTACGCTTGTGCACAAAGAAGTTCCAAGTCCCAACGTCATAAGAGTTATAGATATGGCCGTTGTTTACACCCTCCATCCCTAATATTCTCCTATCAAAGAGTTTGTAGTAGTAGTTTCTTATAGAAGGTTCTCATTTCTTATTAGGGATGGATGGTGTATGATATGTGTGTGTTTGTTAATCAGGGGGAAGATCAAGCGCATGGCCTTCCAGTTCACACCCTACAGCTGGGTCAAGTTTGAGTGGAAGCCTGCCTCCAACCTACGCAGGTGGCTGGCTGTCCTGGGCATCATCTTCATGGTGAGACTCAATCTCTCTCTCACTGTTGCGCTCTCTAATTTCTCTCACCTCTCTCTCGCTCTCACTTAAATCAAATCAAATGTTATTTGCCACGTGCAGAATACAACAGGTGTAAACCATACAGTGAAATGCTTACTTACAAGCCCTTAACCAACAATGCAGTTTTAAGAAAAAAAAAGTGTTAAGTTAAAAATAATTAAAGAGCAGCAGTAAAATAATATAACAGTAGGGAGGCTATATACAGGGGGTACCGGTACAGAGTCAATGTGCGGGGGCACCGGTTAGTAGAGGTAATAGAGGTAATATGTACATGTGGGTAGAGTTAAAGTGACTATGCATAGATAATAAACAGAGTAGCAGCAGCGTAAAAGATGGGGTGGGTGGGGGGGACAATGCAAAAGTCTGGGTAGCCATGATTAGCTGTTCAGGAGTCTTATGGCTTGGGGATTGAAGCTGTTAAGAAGCCTTTTGGACCTAGACTTGGCGCTCCGGTACCGCTTGCCATGCGGTAGCAGAGAGAACAGTCTATGACTAGGGTGACTGGAGTCATGGTATAGAGGTCCTGGATGGCAGGAAGCTTGGCTGTGATGTACTGGGCCGTAAGCACTACCCTCTGTAGTGCCTTGCGGTCGGAGGCCGAGCAGTTGCCATACCAGGCGTTGATGCAACCAGTCAGGATGCTCTCGATGGTGCAGCTGTATAACTATTTGAGGATCTGAGGACCCATGCCAAATCTTTTCAGTCTCCTGAGGGGGAATAGGCTTTGTCGTACCCTCTTCACGACTGTCTTGGTGTGTTTGGACCATGATAGTTTGTTGGTGATGTGGACACCAAGGAACTTGAAGCTCTCAACCTGTTCCACTACAGCCCGGTCGATGAGAATGGGGTTGTGCTCAGTCCTCTTTTTTTCCCTGTACTCCACAATATTCTCCTTTGTCTTGATCACGTTAAGGGAGAGGTTGTTATCCTGGAACCACACGGCCAGGTCTCTGACCTCCTCCCTATAGGCTGTCTCATCGTTGTCGGTGATCAGGCCTACCACATTTGTGTCGTTGGCAAACTTAATGATGCTGTTGGAGTCGTGCCTGGCCATGCAGTCATGGGTGAACAGGGAGTACAGGAGGGGACTGAGCACGCACCCCTGAGGGGCCCCCCATGTTGACGATCAGCGTGGCAGATGTGTTGTTACCTACCCTTACCACCTAGGGGCGGCCCGTCAGGAAGTCCAGGATCCAGTTGCAGAGGGAGGTGTTTAGTCCCAGGGTCCTTAGCTTAGTGATGAGTTTGAGGGCACTATGGTGTTGAATGCTGAGCTGTAGTCAATGAATAGCATTCTCACGTAGGTGTTCCTCTTGTCCAGGTGGGAAAGGGCAGTGCAGAGTGCAATAGAGATAGCATCATCTGTGGATCTGTTGGGGCGGTATTCAAATTAGTGGGTCTAGGGTTTCTGGGATAATGGTGTTGATGTGAGCCATGACCAGCCTTTCAAAGCACTTCATGGCTACAGATGTGAGTGCTACGGGTCGGTAGTCATTTAGGCAGGTTATCTTAGTGCTGTTGGGCACAGGGACTATGGTGGTCTGCTTGAAACATGTTGGTATTACAGACTCAGTCAGGGACATGTTGAAGACACTTGCCAGTTGGTCAGCGCATGCTTGGAGTACACGTCCTGGCCCTGCGGCTTTGTGAATGTTGACCTGCTTAAAAATCTTACTCACATCGGCTACGGAGAGCGTGATCACATAGTCATCCGGAACAGCTGATGCTCTCATGCATGCTTCAGTGTTGCTTGCCTCGAAGCGAGCATAGAAGTGATTTAGTTCGTCTGGTAGGCTCGTGTCACTGGGCAGCTTGCGGCTGTGCTTCCCTTTTGTAGTCTGTAATAGTTTGCAAGCCCTGCCACATCCGACGAGCGTCGGAGCCGGTGTAGTACTCTCTCTGTCGACTGTCTGTCTGTCTATGTCGCTCTCTCACCCCCTCACACTAATCTCTGTCGCTTGCCTCTCCACTCTCTCTCGCCCTCTGTTAGTTCCTGCTGGCGGAGCTGAACACCTTCTACCTGAAGTTTGTGCTGTGGATGCCCCCGGAGCACTACCTGGTGTTGCTTCGCCTCGTCTTCTTCGTCAACGTGGGCGGCGTGGCCATGAGGGAGATATACGACTTCATGGACGACCCGTGAGTATTAGTAACACTGTGTGTATCGTGTACAGTGTGTCATTACAACTGACTAGGTATCCCCCTTTCCCTTTCTAGCCATTAAATCCCCCGTCTCTCCCCCTTCCTCCCTCAGGAAGTTCTATAGGAAGCTGGGGCAGCAGGCGTGGCTGGTGGCGGCCATCACCGTGACCGAGTTCCTCATCGTGGTCAAATACGATCCCAGGACCATCATGCTGCCCATCCCCTTCTTCGTCACCCAGTGCTGGTTCCTGGGCATCGTCCTCATCCTCACCTGGACATTGTGGCGCTTCTTCATCCGGTAAGCTGCCAACCAGTCTGCCAGTCTCCTCCTCTGAGTCGTCTGTTGTAGAACATAGCAATAATGACAAGAATGTGGAATAAAACGGGTCTTTCTCTAGCAGTGTTAGGGTCATGAACTGGAGTCATTCTGGTCTCTTCTGTTAACTGTGGCATGCAGACATGCTTTGGTAACACTTAACATTCCGATTACCATCAACATTAATGAATTGTCAATTGATAAGAAATGCCTTGCGTGAAGACATACATTTATGTTGATTCATGGAACCCTATGTTCAATAATTGCCCATTCTTATTTTAGTAATGTAATACGTTTCCATCTATTTCTTTATTGTGTGTTTTTTGTTGTTGTAGATTTTTTGTTAACTTTTTATTCCATGCATCTCCTCCCAATATGGTATAATGGTTGTTTTATATTTGTTTTTTCCGGGGCTGAGTGTGCTAATTTGTTTTATGTTGCGCCCCCCCCATGCTGGACGTGACTGGGTATATTAGCCCTGCATGTTAAAGCTTCTCGTCTGTGTTCTCCACCCCTCCTCGTGTCCCTTCTCGTTCTCAGCGGCAATGTTCATGTCCAGTAAGGTAGGTGTAGGAGCGAGGCTGTGCCTTTTCTCCTATGTATCTGTGGTTTGCCGTGGTGCCATCATCATCACCCTTCCACCCACCACCTCACCTTCTATGGATCCAAAATGTATCCATGTTTTCCTCCACAGAATGAATCCTTCCCATGATGCATGTTGTTTTTCGGGTTATGCCGTGTCGTACATCATCTATCCTCTTCCTGTTTTTTTTGTTTTGTTTTCTGACCCTCAGGCCTTTTTGTCTTTTCACTCTCGGATGGTTCCTCAAGTAGAAGAGGGTTTGATCAGTGAAAACACTTTAAATGAAGTGGAAGTGGTCAAGTGCACACTTCAAAGTGCCGTTGTGGAACATTAGGAAGCTATGACTACAGTGTATTCGGAAAGTATTCAGACCACTTCCCTTTTTCCACATTTTGTTATGTTACAGCCTTATTCTGAAATTGATTAAATAAAAACAATTCCTCATCAATCTACACACAATACCCCATAATGACGAAGCGAAAACAGGTTTAGACATTTTTGCAAATTTATAAAAAATAAAATAATAATAATAACCTTATTTACATACGTTTTCAGACCCTTTGCTATGTGACTCGAAATTGAGCTCAGGTGCATCCTGTTTCCATTGATCATCCTTGATGTTTCTTCAACTTGATTGGAGTCCACCTGTGGTAAATTCAATTGATTTGGACATGATTTGGAAAGGAACACATCTGTCTATATAAGGTCCCACAGTTGACCGTGCATGTCACAGCAAAAACCAAGCCATGAGGTTGAAGGAATTGTCCATAGAGCTCTGAGACAGGATTGTGTCGAGGCACAGATCTGGGGAAGGGTACCAAAACATTTCTGCAGCATTGAAGGTCCCCAAGAACACAGTGGCCTCCATTATTCTTAAATGGAAGAAGTTTGGAACCACTAAGACTCTTCCTAGAGCTGGCCGCCCGGCCAAACTGAGCAATCGGGGGAGAAGGGCCTTGGTCAGGGAGGGGACCAGGAACCCAATGGTCACTCTGACAGAGCTCTAGAGTTCCTCTGTGGAGATGGGAGAACCTTCCAGAAGGACAACCATCTCTGCAGCAATCCACCAATCGGGCCTTTATGGTAGAGTGGCCAGACGGAAGCCACTCCTCAGTAAAAGGCATATGACAGCCCGCTTGGAGTTTGCCAAAAGGCACCTAAAGGACTCTCAGACCATGAGAAACAAGATTCTCTGGTCTTATGAAACCAAGATTGAACTCTTTGGCCTGAATGCCAAGCGTCACGTCTGGAGGAAACCTGGCACCATCCCTACGGTGAAGCATGGTGGTGGCAGCAGCATGCTGTGGGGATGTTTTTCAGTGGCAGGGACTGGGAGACTAGTCAGGATCGAGGGAAAGATGAACGGAGCAAAGTACAGAGAGATCCTTGATGAAAACCTGCTCAGGACCTCAGACTGGGGTGAAGGTTAATCTTCAAACAGGGCAATGAACCTAAGCACACAGCCAAGACAACGCAGGAGTGGCTTCAGGACAAGTCTCTGAATGTCCTTGAGTGGCCCAGCCAGAGCCCAAACTTGAACTCGATCAAACATCTCTGGTGCGACCTGAAAATAGCTGTGCAGCGACGCTCCCCATCCAACCTGAAAGAGCTTGAGAGGATCTGCAGAGAAGAATGGGAGAAACTCCCCAAATACAGGTGTGCCAAGCTTGGAGCGTCATACCCAAGAAGACTTGAGGCTGTAATTGCAGCCAAAGATGCTTCAACAAAGTACTGAGTAAAGGGTCTGAATACTTTATGTAAATGTCATATTTCCATTTTTTATTTTTAATACATTTTCAACAATTTCTAAAAACCTGTTTTTGCTTTGTCATTATGGGTTATTGTGTGTAGATTGAGATAAAAAAAAAAATGTTTAATCAATTTTAGAATAAGGCTTTAACGTAACAAAATGTGGAAAAAGTGAAGGTCTGAATACTTTCCGAATGCACTGTATGACTCATTCCTTAGCCACCAACACAGTTTATAAAGGGTGGCGTGGCATGAGCTGGTGGTGTAAGATGCTGTGTCAATTATTATTTCCTGTAACATGCCATGTCACCCTATAAGAAATCGAAAAATGGCTTGAAACTCACGGATGGTTTCCAAAGCTGATGTCAAATCAAATCCAAATGTATTAGTCACATACACGTGTTTAGCAGATGTTATTGCGGGTGTAGCGAAATGCTTGTGCTTCTAGCTCCGACTGCAGTAATATCTAAGAAGTAATATCTAACAATTTCACAACATATACCCAATACACACAAATCTAAGTAAGGAATGGAATTAAGAATATATTCATATATGAACAAGCAATGACTGAGCGGCATGGACTAAGATACAGTAGAATATAGTATATACATATGAGATGAGTAATGCAAGATATGTAAACATGATTAAAGTGACTAGTGTTCCATTTCTTAAAGTGGCCAGTGATTTCTAGTCTGTCTATAGGCAGCAGCCTCTAATGTGCTAGTGATGGCTACTTAACAGTCTGATGGCCTTGAGATAGAAGCTGTTTTTCAGTCTCTCGGTCCCAGCTTTGATGCACCTATACTGACTTCGCCTTCTGGATGATAGCGGGGTGAACAGGCAGTGGCTCGGATGGTTGATGTCCTTGATTATCTTTTTGGCCTTCCTGTGACATCGGGTGCTGTAGGTGTCCTGGAGGGCAGGTAGTTTGCCCCCGGTAATGCGTTCGGCAGACCACACCACCCTCTGGAGAGCCCTGCGGTTGTGGGCGGTGCAGTTGCCGTACCAGGCGGTGATACAGTCCAACAGGATGCGCTCAATTGTGCATCTGTAAAGGTTTGTGAGGGTTTTCGTTGTCAAGCCAAATTTCTTTAGCCTCCTGAGGTTGAAGAGGCTCTGTTGCACCTTCTTTACCACACTGTCTGTGTGGGTGGTCCATTTCAGTTTGTCAGTGATGTGGACGCCAAGGAACTTGAAGCTTTCCACCTTCTCCACTGCGGTCCCGTCGATATGCATAGGGGGGTGCACCCTCTGCTGTTTCCTGAAGTCCACGATCATCTCCTTTGTTTTGTTGATGTTGAGTGAGAGGTTATTTTCATGGCACCACACTCCCAGAGCCCTCACCTCCTCCCTGTAGGCTGTCTCGTCATTGTTGGTAATCAAGCCTACTACTGTTGTGTCGTCTTGATGATTGAGTTGGAGGCGTGCTTGGCCACGCAGTCATGGGTGAACAGGGAGTACAGGAGTGGGCTGAGCACGCACCCTTGTGGGGCCCCAGTGTTGAGGATCAGTGGAGGTGATGTTACCTACCTTCACCACCTCGGGGGGCAGCCCGTCAGGAAGGCCAGGACCCATTTGCACAGGGCGGGGTTCAGACCCAGGGCCTCGAGCTTAATGATGAGCTTGGAGGGTACTATGGTGTTGAATGCTGAGCTATAGTCAATGAACAGCATTCTTACATAGGTATTCCTCTTGTCCAGATGGGATAGGGCAGTGTGCAGTGTGATGGCGTTTACATCGTCTGTGGATCTATTGGGGTGGTAAGCTAATTGAAGTGAGTCTAGGGTGACCGGTAAGGTAGAGGTGATATTATTCTTGACTAGTCTCTCAAAGCACTTCATGATGACAGAGGTGAGTGCTACGGGTGATAGTCATTTAGTGCAGTTACCTTTGGTTTCTTGGGTACAGGAACAATGGTGGCCATTTTGAAGCATGTGGGGGCAGCAGACTGGGATAGAGAGAGATTGAATATGTCCGTAAACACACCAGCCAGCTGGTCTGCGCAAGCTCTGAGGACGCGGCTAGGGATGCCGTCCTAGCTTTATTATTAGCAGTTATAAAGTGTGGCCAAGGGTTTCATCACAGGCAACTGTTGCTATGAGAATAGGGAGATTGTTACTGTGTTGTCCTTCAACCTGTCAGTCAGCATGCTGACTCCACCCCGCCCGCCGTCCTCTGACAGCCAATCAGATCAACAGCTCCTCACCCTGCACCTCCCACCAACTATCTTCAGGCATGGTTCTGAAGCACACAGAGAAATATAGCCGTATGTTATCTGGATATAGCATCTTTAAACAGACTTGAAAAGTGGTGTCCTCCTCCCAAGCTGTGTGTTTGACAGACACACAACCTATGTACACTACCAGTCAAATGTTTGGACACACCCACTCATTCAAGGGTTTTTCTTTATTTTTACTATTTTTACATTGTAGAATAATAGTGAAGACATCAAAACTATGCAATAACACATATGGAATTATGTAGTAACCAAAAAAGTGTTAAACATATCAAAATATATTTTATATTTGAGATTCTTCAAATAGCCACCCTTTGCCTTGATGACAGCTTTGCACACTCTTGGCATTCTCTCAACCCCCTTGACTCTCCTCCTCTGCTCTACCCTGCAGTGACATCACTCTCCGCTACAAAGACGC